TGGTCCAGCATAGAGCATTCTTCCCATTTTTCCACCCAACCTTCAGTTGTGAGTTCGCCAAGTTCATCATCCTTGCGCAACACTAACGGAGTCTCGTCATGGTTGTGGACAGGTATAGATAAGGTTTGGTTTGTGATTCTGAATACTCCACTTGTTACTCCTTTCTTTGTTGACAAAAATACGCTGTCTTTATTTTCTGAAACATCGCAATTCGCTTCTACCAACTTGACGCCATACGGTGGAATCACAGCGCGTTTTCCCACTTTTACCACAGCTCTTCGCTCCTGTGCCTGTGGCTTACCTTCCTTCTTTTCAGATGTGACTTCTATAGTAATCCCTACATTCTTCAAAGAGTTGGTACCCAGTAGAAGTTCTAAACTATCCTCTTGTGAAATGTAGTAGGCTATCTCAGCAGTTCGGCCTCCGCTTATTGTCGTGGGTATCCTTACACCACCCAAGAAGTTCATTACGTTGTTGGACGCATCGTAAACGACGTCCATATCCTCTTCTTTTATTCGTTCCAGGCTATCTATGTCGTAGCCATTTTTATACGCCGAAGCCAATACTTTAAGTGGGATGATGCTTATCATCGACCCTGAGTCTATCAAGGCTTCTACCTTGATTCCTAACAAACTCGCTGTTAACAAGGTACGTTTTCCTACTAGCCCTGTCTTTCCACCTTCGTTTTGCTGTTTCACACCTAGTGTCTTCACTTGGTGTATTAGCGATGACAGCGAGTTTGATTTCCTCTCGTTTTGCGTCACATTCTGTCCGCTTTTGTGCTGCTTTTCTGGACATTCTCGAGCTAAGTGCCCATACTTCAAGCAGTTATAGCATTTCAACACTTTCTTCTCCCGATTTGTCCCCTTGTCGAAATGCCTGTCAGTCGTTCTGCCCTGGTTCTCCGGGTTAAAAGCGTTTGCGCTCCAGTTGTCTGTGGGACTCTTGCTTTGGAGCTCCCATCTTCGCCTTTCTGAGTATTCCTTTGCGTCCTCTGCCATAGAGGCGTCTTCCAGTTTAGATGGAGTAGCTTCTACCGCGTGCCTCTTCTGGTAAGGTGACTGATAGCTTCCCATCCTTGCATAGTCCTGGGTCCTTCTTCTCCACCCTTTTTGTCTGTGGCTACCGTTTTCATACATCTCCAATGATTGTTCGATGCTGATGGCGAGTTCTTTTATTTTTTCGTATGCTAGCGCTGGTTTTGTTTTATGTAGCATGCTGATCAGTTGGAGATGTTCCGGCCAATCTTGTAGGCTCTCCAACAGAATCATTGCATACTCCATTGATTTGCTCTCCAGGCTTCCCTCTGGATCTGCCTTACGACCCAGATTTTCTAGCACGACGCAGAATTCTGCTACGCTTTGACCTGCTCTCTTTTTCAAATTCCTTAGCTCTGTTAACGCCCGAAGTCTAGCCGCTGTCGAATCGCAGGCAAGCGCCCTACCTAATTCTTCAATGACCACGTCAAAAGATGAATTTTTGATTTGGGTTGGTAGTGCTAAGTAAACACTTTTGGCCCTACCGCTCAAATGGTCATCTACCAAAATTTCCTTTAGGACTTGATCCTCCCCAATTACCTTACCATACTTTCTACGAAACCTAACAAACTCGTCAAAATTTTCACTCGCCCTACCCCTATACAGCCCTGGATCTACACACGCTGCTGATTGTAAAAAATCCTTGAAAGTCTGACCTTCCATCATCTGCTTTCCTCTTTCTTCCAAGCTCGGGGAATGCTGACTCAAGTGCTGTTCGAAGTGCAAACCAGTCCTCTTGTTCTGGGGCATTGGATGGTGCATTTTCTGAATGATAGGTTCTTTTTCCATAAATTCGCATTCTGCGTAGTCATTCCTACCTTGACGCGAGACATTTTCCTTTTCATTTGTGCTTTTTGTTGAAGTCGACGCTTCTGCTTTTAGTTGTTCTACCTTCCCTTTGATCTGGAAGACATTTGTGTTTAATAGCTCACATAAATCTGTTAGCAGATCACTGTCTCTCTCAGCAGTTGTGAGAAAATCATCTAAATCTGCAAAAGTTTCCACCCCCTTTTTCGACAGTGTTTCCATCATTTGCTTCTGACACTCTTTCTCGCTCTCAATTTTCGTTTCCAGAAGCTTCAAGCTACTCAAAGCTTCTTCCACAATTTGGGTGGTTTCTTTTTCTACTGCGTCCCTATATTTGAAGGCTACCCTATGCTCATCAAATCTTTCGGATAGTTTACTAGGGATACTACGGATAAGTTCTGATATCTCGCTGATTAGCTCACTTTCTTTTTCACTGCTTACCTTTTCGGGCTTGCTTGTATCCATTTCCTCATGCATCGCACTACGGCTCTTCACTTTATGCGGCTTTTTGCCTTTTCTGCAAAAAAATGTTTGAAATTCTCACTTCAGTTGACTTCACGGCAGTTACGCGAAGAAGTTCAGTAGAAATTCAGTCCCTCTTCTGGACTTTCGCCCCTTTCTGGGCTCAGTTGCTGCTTTGTTTTTACTGTGCTACTCTCAAACGGCCGGTTCGGCCCCCATGTGGTAAATTTGTGTGAAAGATATAAATATCGGCCGAGACCGATGAGAGAAGCACAAGTAAAAAAAAAACAAACTTTTATAAACAAAAAAAGAACCAGCAACAACGCAAACTGCGGTCTAACCGCAGTAAGAACACGAAAATAAACAAAGTCACACGAGACAATAAAAACAACAAAAAATATCCCCTCACCGTCCTCCGGCGGGGTTCAAAAACGAGTGGCGGCGGCGTCCATGGGATAGCCCATGGAGCCCGCGCGGTCGATACGCGATCTCTTGATCGGTAGATCGTCATATCTCATCGACAATGTTTCTATAGTGATGAGTCAGTATTTCGAAAAATTACAGTTATACTAACGCGTTTTTTGACCACATGTAAGGGAGTGTTGATTGTGCGAATATTTGTTTTTCGCAAACTGTTTGCAAGAAAACTTTGATAGCAGAAATTTCGAGACACGAAAGCGTCACTAAGCAAAAAATGTAGGATCGAATAGGGGAAAATTAGCAAGCACAAGCACAGTAAGCTACAATTGCGAATCATGACTGAGTAGCATTGTGAAAATGACGTGAGCTTTTCACACAGAAAGCCCAAATCGTTATAAATCTCTGCTTGCACTGCTTCCAAACGTAAACTGCAGCAGACATACTGAACAGAAGACCAAACCATTTAATCTCATGTATACTCAACATTTCTCCTGCCCTAGTTCTACACGCGATTTACATGCCCCACCGTATTTTTTATTTCAGCATGCTCATATAAACCTCGTCCACTACTCAGCTCTCATTCTAGCTGAAAAATTTGCAGAGAAGGATGTAATCAAAAAGTAATAGGTATTTCTCCAAATGAACGCTTCAGCAGTCGACATGCTCGCTTACTGTAAAAACTCCCAGCAACCCAAATAAAGCCATCGAAGGGTCGATAAATGGATACTTCTTGTACATACTACTTTTGTGATCAGCATACTTACCTATCCTACCAGCTTTTGACACTACGGCTTGATGGAGAATTGGTTAATTCAGAAATACATCTTACCGTTGTAACCAAATGCTCGCCTACTGTACCTCTCTCAGCTAAACTTCACAAAAATCTTGCGCTTTCTTTAGGTTTCCCATACCTGCTACTGCTCTCCTATGCTTCACCGCAAACCGCAATATGTTCATGTGTGCCGTTTTACCGCCATCCCTGAAGTTCTCTGATGGTAGGCTGCAGAAGTACACCGAAAAGAATGTACTCGCGTGGACAACCTAAAGGACGCACCTATTTTATCCATGCAAGAAGCGCGTACTTGTAGCAGATGTCCGCAAATGACTGTCCCTTTCAGCAACATATCGTTCCCTATCTCATCCAAAACTCTTCCCCACCCCTCCAGGATAGAAGAATAGAAGTGGAATAGTGGAGGAATTCTTACTAGGATTTCTTACTCTAAATATTCGATTCTAAAACTATTCTGACAAACTTCACAAATTCCTAACGATGGGGTCACACATGATTCTGCGTCTTGACCCGTATTTCGTAAGCATGTACATTTATCTTCTTACCACCCTCCCCCTCCGCAACTATTTCTAACGTCTCTGCTGGAATTTTGCAAAAAACTTGACAAAATCGATAACCGCAACTATTCTTGTAAAAATGAGTGTGCATTTCGTAATCGGCATGCTCGCTTGACCTTGCGACCACTCCCCACGGTAACTTGGACTTCGCGAAGAATCAATGAAATCGATACCATTCAACTGGCACTTCATCTTATGTATTTCCTAATCAACATGCGCACTTAGGGTTCCTTCATACTACACCGCAAGACGCAGCAGCTTGCCGCAGCACGCGGCAGCACGCAGCAGCACGTCGCGTCCTGCGGCGTAGTATGAAGGAACCCTTACCTCTCCCCCTTCGCCCGCCCCATCGACCTAGCCAGAAAAAAAAGATAAAAACGATAAAGCTACGAAAATCTTCACATCGTTCGTTAATGTAATTTAGATAGCACTTATTAAAAGTGAGCAACGTGATTTGATACCGTTGAGCGACACAGTCTTTAATACTGAAAGAGCGATATGTTGTAATGATATCAATTATTGTTCTCTCTTTCGAGTTTGATAGGGCATCACGATCAACATGTCGTGAAGACAACCTGGAAGGACCTACGGCAATGAAGCTCGGTTTGGGTGCAATCGGTGCATCCGAGGCAGACATCCTTTGATTCAACTGGCTTGGCGGCTGGAAGCGTGGCTTCGTGACCTAATTAAGGCTAGATAATGGTCAGAGAGCATGCGCGGGAGAGAGACGCAGACTGCTTCGCGGAGTTATCAGCCTTAATTAGGTCACAAAGCTCCGCCTTGCAGCCGCCAAGCCAGTTGAATCAAAGCTTAAAACATGTAAAATTGTCGCGGCAGCCAGCGTTGAGTCATAGCTAGCGCTTATTTTTGAGAAAGTTTTCTCTGGACTTTAAAAAGCAAATCGACCTTTCATACCATAGTTTTTACCTTGAGTATGGCATGTAGACTACGTCGCGTTCAAAGTCAACTGTTGGAAGTCTAATATTATATTCGGGAGCTGTTTCCAGCACGTTGTTCCAGCTTTGTATTCCAGAAGGAAGCGAAGTGGATGATCCGTCGTCCAAGCAGATTATTGTCTGAAAACAATCGAAATACAACCTTAGTAGCTGCAAATGTCACTTTCACTACTGTGCGATAGATAAATTTTTTAATTCAAATCACTTCAGTGCGGTGAAATTAGATGCCAATTTACGCCCTCAACACAGAACGGACCAGATGCGAAACTTCTCAACTAAGTCAATCACCGTAAAAGACATTCTTTCTGATGGTTTTAAGATTTGTCTCAGTGATGTTTCTGATTATCTCTAAATGAGCTTAGAGCAATATTTTGGATGAATTAGTTGGCAAAGAATATATTGATAAATGTAGGGACAAAAAAGCAGAAGACACTGCAGCTATAAATCACGCTCATCTCCTGCTTCCTTCACGCTCTAAGTTCTCAAATCACGACTCAAAAAATTTCATTAGGTCATACTATTTGGCACAAGTGGGCTTATATTATTTTTGAGACAGATTCTAAATGAGAGAGATTGACATAGACTTATTACAGCTGCTCGCAATCTCACACATTCGAATTTCTCGCATGCAGTCGCCTGCATGCTAACTTCAAATCCGTTCAGTGTATGATAACATTATTCCGGAGTACGTAATGTATAATATGTATACTTCCCCATTATTTTCGTCTTATGGATATATGATGAGGTTCGCACATCATATGGGTACTTCAAAAAAGTAGTACGGTACTATTGAATCGATGCGGTATACGGGTGGATCACCACTCAGCACACAAAATTTCTTATGGTGACCACAAAATACCTTTGATGTTCTTGAGTTTCATCAATGATTCTCTAAGTCCCATACGAAGCTCCCCACATGAAAGAGAAGCATGGGCGCAGCACGTGGACAGAGCTCGAGTTTCTGTGTATCATGTCTACGATGAAAGCGATTTATCGCCATTTCAGCCGCTTCACGACAATAAACCTTCTGTCTTTGCTTGGCAATACATTGTACCATCAAATCCACAACATTTCCGTGTTATTGTTCTTTTCCAGTTCTATAATACATCACGCTGGTCAAACAACTTATATAGCTTGAGTACAAAGTAATGCTTTATATAGCGCTCCAACTTCATCAAAAATACCCAATTCTGCGAAGCTCCGTGCGTTTTATATATGGGGAAGGATGCCTCCGGCTCGTATAAGAGGAACAAGCCTACCTTGATGTTACCACACTGCTGCACGGCTTTCAATACCTTGTTCAAAGCCTGCTGGTTGGTGATCACTAGTTTTGCTGTAGAGTCCGTAAAATGACGTTGTAGTTCATCTGTAATCAGATTTTCAACTCAAAAGGTTCTCGGACAAATTTTGCCATCCTCTCATGTGCTTTCAAGATTTGTTTATTTCATTTTCGTGTACGTAAGGGTGCACTCATGTTTGACATTGTTAATAACAAGAGCAAACAACACAGCACGGTCAATGTCAGGCACAGTGAAAATCTAAAAATGCACCAGTCGTTGGCGTCGTCGGTATGGAGCTGACCAAGAATTACTTCTCCAAGAGAGCCAGTCTAACAAGGTTCAATTACGCATCTTATTGTTTTTCAGAAATCAGATTCAGTTTTATATGAAGGGCTAGAGCCCGCATGCGCAAACCTGGTGCTATAGCTCCGAAGAATAAGGAAAAGAATCCACCAGCTTACAAATGCCTTACTGTTCGGAGCTATAGCTCCGAAGAATAAGGCATTCAAAAGCTGGTGGCCTTGCTCTATTTATGACATCGTAGTTACAGAAATTCGTTCAGCTAAAAAGCTATTTGATAGACTGGGCACAACATCTACTGTACTACGTTTCATTGGAGAGAAAACTTTGTACGTGACTAATCAAAATATTTAGGAGAGATAGGCAATGGTGCCAACAAGAGGAGGGTAAACGCTTGACAGTAGCTTCAAGCACAACATTTAAATTATCATGAACTCCTAACGTCTGAAGTACATGTATTTTCTTCGAAGCGCTTTTTAGTTGAGCAACCTCTAAAAGAAGGAAGACGGTAATATGTTTGTTCCACAATATGGTTACTCCAGAATGACATCGCAGTTACATAAATTCGCTCAGATATTGAAGCGTTCAAAAAAGAATTTGGCAGTTAATGCAAACTTAGGAGGCTAGTCAAGTCTGATACATATTCTGCATACATTAGTAATATGTTGAGTTATCGTTTAAGATCGTGCAACGTGTGTTATCACGTATTAGAAGATCTAGAATCCGATTCCAGAGTACGAATGTCAGTTTGGGCGTGAGGCCCGCGCCTCATACCTCACGCGATGTCAGTGGCGACTCGACTAATAATGCAGTTGCTTATAACTCGTCGCAAACTCAATTTGAGCGGAGGAGCTTTGTCAACTCACAAAAGCTGAATACACCAAGCATCGGTCAACACAAATATATACAACATTAGCTGGTTTTCCACATTATTCTCGCTTGGTATTAACGCTCAACGCTTTTGGGCTTGAATGGAAATTGTAGTCAAGAACTCAACTTGAAGCTTAGCTTGTTTGTACTCTTTCTTCTCGTATCCAAGCAGTACTATAAGAGAAACGTACTTGCAAAGAGTGATAAAGTAATCGGCTTAGACCGCGTAATCATAACCTCGAGTCATTTGTAACTTAATATGTGAGATTGCACATTAAGGCCCCCGCCAGAGTGCCGAAGCCACGCCAGCGCTGCGCGGCGCCGAGCCAGCGCCGAGCTGTCCCGTTTGTTCGGGACGGGGCTAGATGATCCTGTGCGGGCAAGGGCTACCGGACCTTCTGGCAAGTTCGATCAATAGTCGGTGCATTTACCTGGCTGAGAACTAGGTCAGCTAGTCCCGCCCCAACAAAATGCATATGTATCGATCGAAACAGTGTCGGGGCAGCTCGGCGCTAGCTCGGCGTTGGCTTGGCGCTGGCGGCGCTGGCGCAGCGCTGGCGTGGCTTCGGCACTCTGGCGGGAGCCTAAGCCCTATTCGCGACGGCACCTATGCTAGTAATTTCCCAGTAAAACATTTTCTAGCTTAACAAATGTAGAAATGTGTTCTAATGACTAACTTATAACCAACTAAAACAAAAGAAACAAGAAAACAAGGAGAAATCACTGGAAATGAGCAGGTCCTAGTTTTGCTGTTTGTCAGTTAGCGTGTATAATGTGCACTACGCATATTAAGTTACAAATGACTCGACGATAAATGTTTTACTATAGCAAAATGTCTACACAAAAGCTCTGGTTTAGTCTAAGACAAGGATAATAAGCGTACCCTTTCTAGAGTTGATCATCAGAAGAATTCGTTTAATTCCTGGAACTTTTTGTTTTGTAACACTTACATTCAGTGGAAAGCGGGCTGAGAGAAGTCATAATTCCACCATTCAATGTCACCCCCAAAAACATCGAAGGAAAATCGGGATGATTTGGCAATACTGACGATGCAACATCCTTCTGCAAATTAAAGCTACTTTGCAAATTTCTAAAAATATTCGGTTATGACAAGTTATTCACACAATATAGGCTTGAATTAGAAGAACAAGCAACATAAGTTTCTCTTCTTTCAATCAAAATTTATATTCAATTATTTCTATTATTACTAACCTATTGACTAAATCTATTATTATTTAAATTATTTTATTTCTAGTGAGTCTGTATTGTGCTCCGATATGAATTTTTTTATTTATTCTGTTCGACATTACTTTCTTTGCAAATCGCGTTTGTTCTACTCGATGCTGGCAGTAGACATTTTTTCCACAAAAATTCTGATAGACTTTGCACTGTTTCGTGATGCACTTGCAGAATAGGCTAGAGTTTGAGGAAAGTGTCTACGGAAAATAATACTAAACTAATACTACGAAACGAAAAGAGAGATTCAGTGTTGATATCGACTCAAACTAAACACTTGTATTCCTAAAGTCTGCACTCCTTGTGATGAACTGCAAAGATATCTGAATATTGAGCTCGATTCCGTATGAGATGGCAAACCCATCTGTTTCTTTTTTCAATGATGCAAGAAAAGCCTAAGAAATCTTCTTCCTGGTGTGACATGAATAGATTTGTCAATAGATTTTTTTTGTTTGAATGAACCGTAGTGCTGAAAGTTAGTATAAATAGCAAAAGAAGAGTAAACAAGTCTACATAAACAGCCACTTTTACAGGGCTGTCTGAAAAAAAATCACAGCACACAGTTTCTCCGATGCGTAGGAGTGCTACTAGAGCTGTCGGAAGCTCCTCGCGATAGATTCTGATATCGTATAAAGAAACGAAAGAGAAAATACACGGAATTCTTTATAAAAATGTCGGAATCTGATATTTAGAAAATGCAGTTCTTTTATTGAAAATTCCCTGAAATTTCTTACATAGCATTCCTGTATCAATGATCTGGCTATTGGATGTAAAATAGCCAGTCATTCATTCCCAAATGAAGTATAATCTATAATTTGCTGTGTTTCGTGGCCTCCATTGTCTCGCTAGTTGGCTCTGCCAATACAATGGTCATGCGTTAGTTTGTAGAAACCTAGTAAATTGCACTTTGAAGTGCCTGCAGAACGTGCTTTGACAATGTCCTATAATTTTTGCAAATGAATTCTCAAAAAAACCTCGTAGTTGTAGGAAATTCTCTACAGCTAATTATGAGCTCATCAAGAAAGGACCGTGCTTCGGTCATCAGAGTGATTGGCAGGGTCAAGCATGGGGTATGGCACGCCATCCCTGGGAGTTGTATTAATGGCTGGGTTCATACTGATCCCCATGTTCTGGAACTGTTCCCGCACAGTTCTCGCACTGTGCTGGAACTGTGCGGGAACTGTGCGGGAACAGTTCCAGAACTGTGCTGCATGCTCTGCAGCCGCCCCGCACCGTTTTGAACGGCGAGAGTTGAAGAATTTTGACCGTTCTCAACGGTTTTTCCTTCGAATTTCTCTCATTTTGGCCTTACTCCTCCACCCGCTTCCATTTTTGATCAGCCGAACTTCGAAACTCGAAGCGGGGTAGAAGAATGAGCGCATTTCTGCTCTGCGTATGCGACAAAATGAGTGTTCTTGTGTTCGCCCATTCTCTCTTGATTTTGGTTTGGATTTTTGCTCGTGATTTTTGCTCAAGACAACTTCATTTGTACCAGGAAGCGGCTGCGCGGTTTCCATAGCCATCTGCCACGAAATAGGGAGTAGGAGCAATTCTGAAACTGCATGAATTGGGACTTGTCTCTTGCTTTCAATGATTTTGGGCGTTCTCAGCCTCTTTCGTTTTTCCATATCGTTGCTTCTTCGTTCTTTCTTCTACCCCGCTTCTCCTAGTGATGAGAAAAGCTACGAACTTGAACTTCAACTTGAAGCGGGGTTGAGGACTAGACGCTGTTCTGCTTCATGTATCCGGGAAGATGGACCTTCGTGCACTCGTCCATCTTCACTGTTATTTTTATTCAGGCCTACTTCATGTGTTCTAGAGACTTGTCTATGTCAATTTCAATAGAGATGCGAGACTACGTAGCGACTTGCTAGGACACATGAAGTAGATCTGAACAAAAATAGCGTTGAGAGAATGGACGAGCGCACGAAGGCCCATCTATCCGGATACATGGGGCAGAACAGCGTTCAGTACTCAACCCCTCTTCAAGTCCGCTGCTTTCTCATCACAAGGAGAAGCGGGGTAGAAGAAAGAACGGAGAAGCAACGATGTGGATAAACGAAAGAGGCTGAGAACGCCCAAAATCATTGAAAGCAAGAGACAAGTCCCAATTCATGCAGTTTCAGAATTGCTCCTACTCCCTAATTCGTGGCAGATGGCTATGGAAACCGCGCAGCCGCTTCCTGGTACAAATGAAGTTGTCTTGAGCAAAAATCACGAGCAAAAATCCAAACCAAAATCAAGAGAGAATGGGCGAACACAAGAACACTCATTTTGTCGCATACGCAGAGCAGAAATGCGCTCATTCTTCTACCCCGCTTCGAGTTTCGAAGTTCGGCTGATCAAAAATGGAAGCGGGTGGAGGAGTAAGGCCAAAATGAGAGAAATTCGAAGGAAAAACCGTTGAGAACGGTCAAAATTCTTCAACTCTCGCCGTTCAAAACGGTGCGGGGCGGCTGCAGCGCATGCAGCACAGTTCTGGAACTGTTCCCGCACAGTTCCCGCACAGTTCCAGCACAGTGCGAGAACTGTGCGGGAACAGTTCCAGAACATGGGGATCAGTATGAACCCAGCCAATGAGTCAAAAAGATCGTGAGCGAGTATTAATGGCGATAAAGATATTTGTAAACGATTAATCGGATACCCAAGTATGCGAAATACAAGCACATGAGAAATGAGATATTGACTTGTTGTCGTATACCTTATGTAGCATGATAAAAAGGCGCTACCAAGCTCAGTGAGTGTTATGTCCATAATTAGCATGTAAATAACCCTTGTGGACCTAATTCAAGCGATTTCAAAGTTTTCAAGTACTAGGCCACTTTATTGAAATGGTCATTTTCGAACATGATCAACTTTGTTTCAAAGGCGAACCTACCTTTTTATGCAGTCATTGGAAAGCACTACTCCTTCATTGCCCATTCCAGAAATTTCGCTCTAAAAGTCCGCCAAACTTGGTAGCTCATTAGTCCCATTTTTCGCTCTTGCAGGCTGTTCACAAACTATTACCCAAAACAAAAAAAGCAGGTTCAAACAACGGTTGTGAAAACTACGAAGAAAAAGCTATTGGTTCATACGAATACCATTTGCTTAATGTGTTTTTGTGACATAATGAATGAGGTGTGACACCTCAGAAGCGGCGTGGCTGCCGCACCTTTTTTGATGTCACACCTCATAGTTTTTACAAAAGTGCTGAGCTAATTCGTTTTCTTTGCTCTTGATAGTTGCTGAAAGCGCAGCCCTTAGAAGCCAAAAATGGGACAAATGACTTGCTTATAATTCCACAGTTTGGCGGACTTTTGAAGCAAGATTCCTGGGGTGGCCAGAAGGAGTAGTGCTCTTTCTAGAGTGCAAACAGAGGTTAGTTCACCTTTGAAATAAATTTAATCATGTTCGAAATCAACCATTCCACTCAAGTGGTCCAATATTTTGACGCCTTACTCCAGTATTCGAAATTCATTCAAGCTTAGTTTACGGGAGTAATCTGACATCAATTATGGATGTACCAGTGCGTCACTCTTTAGCAGAGATTTGCAGTGATTCTGCCTACATGGCTTCCTCGTTCTCCCATTGGCTTTGAAACTTACGTGCAACGCTGACAATCACCAGTGAGTAGTTGTTCACGAATAAATTGTGAACATACACATTTAAAGCTTTTCCATGTAAGATCGGTAACTTTGGGAGGAAGGAACTTTTCGCGCAAGAACAATTGCGTATTTGAATCATTTACTGAAATGATTTTGGCTTCAAAGCGCTCTATGCACAACTGTCATCGTGAGCTACATTTTTGAGCAAGAATTTTCTCTCTCAGGTAAAACGTTGAGAAATCGGTGGTCTGGGCAATCATTTCTTTTTCGCTCCCTAAAACAAAAGACTTTTTTGGCCAGTTTCTGTGCTAAATCATATGGGCTGCAGATCTCCTTGTTGAGCAAATGTGTGATATTGCAAAAGTTTGAATACTGACCTACTTTTTCGCTAAGGCCGAGTGGACCCGTTTGACGCGCAATTACTGGAAGATTCGCGTATTGGATCGACTCGTCTTTGGGTTTGGTGAGCCTACACGCTGGTACACAATGGCCCGTATTAAAGCTCGGTCAGTAGAGGTGATCTTCCCTGAGGCCCTTATGTGACGTTCCGTCAGGTGAAATGACGACCGCCCACTTCCCCATGCTACAAGAATGCAACGTCACCTGACATGTGAGCCTCAGGTCAGGTTCGGCAGAGAGATGGTCTCCCTGCTGAGTCATCGGAGATGATCCGAGCGATGATCTTCCGAGATAGGTGCCAGTTAGGAGATTTAGAGAAAATTTCCGTAAATACACGTCAGTTTAACATGTCGAACATACTGAGTGAGGAGCCACAGTGCAGGCTGACGATCTTCGACAAGATTCAACAAGTGCGGCCACCTCCTCCTTTCCTACCAATTACAAAGATGTAAATGTCTGGCGGATGGGTTTTGACTTGTATACTTGCATAGACATGAACTCAATCATATTAAGTGGATGGTTGAAATCATCAATCATTGGCTCAAGTGAAGCAGAGCTGACTCGTCGAAGCCTCAACTGAAGTTCTCCTCAGTTGAGATCGATTGAGGCAGTTTACTACGGGCCTACTTATGTCTGTGAAATTTTGGCTTGAGACCTTGGCTGCAATTCACTCCATGAATTTCGTAAAAGATAGACATACAGACACATGCACAAAAAGAGGGACGTTAGCATTTCATTATAAGTCACTAGCTGGCTTACCCGGCTCCGCCGTATGTTCCGAATAGAAAATTCCATTTCTCAACCGATCCGGACCAAACTTGGCACACATACACTGCGGGCCCCGCCGGGTGTCATAGGCTACTTTTCGTCATCGATCGATATCGATTTTATCGATTTTTTGCAAAATTTGAGCTAGAGGGCTGGAATTTGGCAGAGGGGTGTAATCGAGCATGCTGATCACCCCTACGGGGATGGCAGAGGGGTGTAGGGGTGTAATTTGGCAGAGGGGTGTAATCGAGCATGCTGATCATCCCCTACGGGGATGATCAGCATGCTCGATTACACCCCTCTGCCAAATTCCAGCCCTCTAGCTCAAATTTTGCAAAAAATCGATAAAATCGATATCGATCGATGACGAAAAGTAGCCTATGACACCCGGCGGGGCCCGCAGTGTATGTGTGCCAAGTTTGGTCCGGATCGGTTCAGAAATGGAATTTTCTATTCGGAACATACGTACACGCAGACAGACAGACATACAGACAGACAGACAGACATACAAACAGACATTCAGCTTTATATGTAAGATGATTACTCGTAATGCTTAGTAGGGCCTTTACGTTATGCCAACCTTATTTTTGCAGTAGTTCACAAGGTCTCATCGAGACGGCAATCAAAGAGAGGGGGGGGGGATACCTAGTGATCATGTGCCATACCTCCTACTTGGACCTGGTGTGATCGGTCAGGCTACTGTGTAATGGATGAGGTGTAAAGCTGATATGTGGAAAATTACTGTGCAAAGTACGTGATCAGATTTCGGACAGAAGTTTGTGGTTTAATTGTAAGTAGACGAGCAGGTAGGCGCCTGTAGTTGCAATTTTTTTATTTTCTGGTGAGCAGTAGTTATTAGGTTGTAAAGAAAGTTCCCGGGCACTTTTGGAAATTTCATTTTCAAACGCAATATTTCGGCGCCCGTCCGGACTTTGACATCAAGTTCTTTATACTGTTCAGTAGAGGGAAGTCTAAAGTTTTCAATACCGTTTCTGATTTTTATCAATGCCAAGACGTGTTTGATCTGCACATCAAAAAGGAAAGTCTTTCCACCCATAAAAATTACACAATTTTTCTTCTTACAATCATTTTTTTGCGCATTTCAAAGAAATCCGTCTAAATCATAGGTGATCTGATTGACAAGACTGTTAACTTCTGACCCGCAGCTGCACTCGAGTTTTGCGATTTGCGTTTAGAAAATACAAGCTGTCAAACTTGCGTCTGACTACAACTCTTTTCGCAGCTGGCGTCGCTTCTGCGGGAATAGTCACGCGTGGATGATAGGTCCAAAAGATGTGTAAGGCATTACCCCAACAATGTTCGCAGTAACCAAAGATTTGGTCCACCCTATGCAGAATGACAAGACATCGAAGTCACTTACTCGAAAAATGGTGCATTTTTAGGGGCAAAAATGGTCCATTTTTCAAACTTTCTGAAAAAATTTTTTTTCCAGGTGGTCCTGCAAAAACATGAGTGGTCCCCATAACAGCCCCAGCAGACTTCTATATAAATACAGCTTGAGCTCTCCTGCTTTTATCGTGCCTGAGATAATCTTGCACAAACATGCCACTTTTCGCGACGACCTTTTTCCCTTCTGCGCATGCTGGTGGACCGCAGTGAGGTGCTGAAATGCCAGCAAGACAAATATATGTTGTGGACAAAATTATCTTTGCAATGAAGTTTGTAGCTTTAGACAAGAATCAATCTGCTTCGAGTTACAGCGATTTGAAAAAAATTTTCGCAAGTGCCCGGGAACTTTCTTTACAACCTAATAGTTGATGAATGACTGCTCTTCAAGAGAAAAAAAACCCAAGTGAAGTTTACACAGCCTTTCTGAATGATAATTTTATTAACCGATAGATACAAAACAAACCTCATGGAAATTGTTCTTGCTGAGAAATGTAGCAAATGCAAAGGTCGAATCAGAGATTGTCTTGTATTTCACTTCCTTGTCAATCTCAGGACAGATCTAGAATTTGTGAAAGGGTAACTCAGCAAACGAGGCAGGGGTTGAAAATAAACCCTTTTTTGCGATATGTGCATGGTTAATATGAGATGTAAGTAGCTCGAATATTTTTTTAAAACAGCAATTAACATAGCAAAGCTAATTGGAGTGATGATACTTACGAAAGCCGTTCTATTTTCAAGAGAGTGTTCATTTATTGCTGCAAGCACACTTGCTGGGAAGGACAACCTTGGAATAGGCACTGGGGGATAATCAGATTTGATCACACCCTGCAATAGGAGGCGATAAGAAAATTCATGTGCTTAACACAAGTCAAAATAGGTAAACACGTACAGAGCTCGTGCTGTAGTAGGAATGATTGCGATGCGAGAGTCCAGTGACCAGGCATCGCACATGCTTCCAGCTCATGATAAACAGAAGTTAAGAGAAGTGTGTATGAAGCTGTGGCGGGTAGTTGGGATCGCCAAGATAGAGCCATGATATTTTATAAGCAGCTAACTTGTGGAAAAAAGACCAATGTAGGGAGAGGAGGGTATGAATGTTTTCACTTCCCAGGTTTACCACATCGCTCTATCTTCTCGATCTCTTCCATTATCACGTCAAAGCAATAAAGTGGTACTCTCGTACTTTGGTACTTTGCTCAGCTTTCCCACTGTTGTGACTTGCGAATGCACTCTTTCGCCACTTGTCAGAGAAGCGAAACATAAATCAAATTCATTTCAGAAAAACAAACTCGAACGCGGCAAAACCCCACGTATACTTACGTTCAAATCGCCAAACCTCAAAATATCTTCTTTTTTTATTTTTGTCTCATCCACCAAAGTTTAGTGAAGAGCAAGCAAGGTGCTGGTGTATTGCCGTGCAAGATTGTTGCGGGAGGAAAAGGTGCGAGTTTCTAGAAATGGTGCGAACGAACTTTCGGTTCAAACCAATATCTGCATGTAGCGTAACATCATGGGATTCAGTACCTGTGTGCTATAGTTGGAACTTTTTGCTTTTAAAAGCACCAAAAGTCAATCTGTTTCAACAAACAGCTAATTTAAGGAGTTTCCAAGCTCTTACTTATTTCATGATGGTCATGAAATCTACTGATCCTTTTGATAAATGAGGTGAAGAGCGCTCTCATAAGCCCTGCGTAATCGCTGATATTGAAGGACAAACTCCAACCTCACCACAGGGTTGACGCACTTTTGCACCACAAAACTCGATTTTCAAGCAACAGAAAATACTGTAATGTAGCCATTGGACATTCAACAGTGAACTTGTATGCGTGACTAGGAAAAAATTTCGGGATTGGACACTCGGGTTCAGCCGCAGTTGACATCCACTGAATGTTGAGTGGAGCATCCTGCACAATCAAAGCCAACTCAGATCACGAGATAAAACAGGAGACGCTTAAATCTTCAAAATTAGCTAATTTCATTCGGTAAAATATGAGATGAAACACAGAGGGAAATAAGGAGATCTAGGGTTATATCGATTCTTCTGCTCGAAGGGAATTATCGTGAAAAGTTTTTCAGATCTAAATCGCAACTGCATCACTAAGAAAAACCAAAAGTTGTTGCAAAAGCTGCATCACCATGTAGGCAATGTGGCAAATCAAATCTAGCGATTTATGAACATTGCAAACAGAGTTTTTGTGGGGTAAAAACGTGACAACTTTATGGTGAGGTTGGAGTCTGTCCGCCAATATCAGCGATTACGCAGAGTTTATGAAAGCGCTCCTCACCTCATCTAACGAAAATGCTTAGTAGATTTTATGACTATCATTTGAAATAAACAAGGGCTTGAAAACTCCTCAAACCAGCTTCTTGTTAAAGCAGAATGACTTTTGATGTTTTTGAAAGCAAAAAATGCAGTGTTCGCTTCTATTTGAGCAGGATGACAGACCGTGAATGTTGCAAAAGTTTCATATTTTAGGATGTAATTGTATAAAAAAATTTGAGAGCCAGGGAATGATTAGAAAAACCAGGTGGCTTTATAATTTTGTCCAGCTTTCTTAGGGGCTTTTCCAAGTTTTTTCGTTTTTCTCCGTTCAAACTCAACAAGACTGAAAGCCGTCTTGAGGGGTCATGGCAGATTGACATGCGCACAATACAGCAAAGTTTCAGACAGATTCATTGACAAGAACGAAAATTACGACGATTTCTAGATTGGCTTTATAATTATGGCCAGCACTATATTCAACTATTCGATTATTCGAATAGTCGAATATTCGAGAAAGTCCATTTATTCGATTATTCGTATAGTCGATTAAATTGAAAGGAAAGGTCTTTGTTCGAACAATTGTTCATTTGAGGACTCGGAAAAGACTTATTCGAATATTCGAATATTCGACAAGTTTTGAGGAGCAGTTCCACATATTATTCGAAAACTTCATTCAAGTATTTGAATATTGCACTCGAATATTCGATATCGAGTTTTTCACTTATTCGAATAGTCGAATAGTCGATCAAGTTCGATTATTCGAATTTTCGAAACCTCGAATCTTGGAATGTGCCCGTATTCGAATATTCGAGTTCGAATAACATAAAACCGAATGCATGAATATATTCGTTCTATGTAAAATTTTTGGAAGATCAGTCATACGATACTCATTTGTTCGAAAATCTTCAATAATAAATTGTTTGATATTCATTCATTCAATAACTTCCGTTCGTTATAACTATCTTGTGTGCCAGTGACCTTTTGCCTCAAAGGCACTGTCCAGAGAATGTCATCTCTGTGATTTTGGAATCTTTTGACTGTTCTGGCCTGCTGAATCCCAATCCCTCAAACTATCCAAAAATCGCAAAAACTCCCTTTTCGAGGGTCCCTTCGGAAGAGCGATGATGGAAGAAGCGCGCTCTGCTGCAGCTGTAGGATGGGCGGGATTCCGCCGATTGGAGGCGGAATCAGAGTACCGCCCCTTTTGTAGACTCATCTGAAGCAATTTTCCCGCTTCAGAGCCCACCATTTTTGATGGGACTTGAACTGTTGGGCTTGCCAGAAGCTGCGCTTTCGTACTGCTCCAAGATCCCACCACCCCCTAGTGGACCTGGAGAATACCTTTAAGGTTGATTTCAAAGCCATAAATGCGTAGACACTGAAACTTAGGCTGTCTGTTTTTCATAGTCCATATAGACAAAAATTTAGTTCAGAACTGAGGTAAATGTCAAGAGTCTTTTGACAGACATTCTTCCGTTTTTCGTTCTTCGCACTGTATCCAAGATTTCAGTATGCGGTGTACGTATGCCTGCAGCCAAATTCTAAACTTTATTTTGAGTTGCAACACTTCCTTTTATACGGTAGCTCGGAAGCTTGTTATATCATTCTACACGTTTTCTAAGAAAAGACGCACTTTCTAGAAAGGCATGGAACGAACTTCATTACAACTACACGCAGTCCATGACAGATGCATTTGCCAAGATTTTGGAGACCTGCGTTGATTCAAAAGCACGGCTTATGCCCCTTCTGTAGGAAAGAATTAATATTTCCCTCAACAAGAGAAGGAACTTACGTCTCTCACCAAAGCGACAGGAGCCACCAAATCGATGTAACGTTGCTGGGCGCCGTTTGGATAGGATAAAAACTACGTCTGAAATCTGAAACGACCGACAAAGACTGCTTCATGCTCTGCACGTACAAGGCTACGACAGTCTCCACAAACGCCGACCTCCATGCTCTTTCGACACTGAGCACATTATATAGTATGTATTGTCTGCGATACGATGGACAGTAATCATTCTATAATAAAGAATGGCAAGGTTTTGCACTTACATGTTGACAAGTTGCGGACTGAGGCGAGTGATTGCCGAGGGTGCGGAGGGTGCAGATTGTCTACAAGGCTAGCGTGTTTTCGTAGGGGTACAGGGGGTGGTAAATATCGTGTCTCCTCGAGAAAGGCGTCCAAAAGGAGTGCGGTTCTTAAGTGCAAAAAGGCTATAGTTGGGAAGGGGCCGACACTCTCGTAAGGTTGCTAACGGTACCCCCCCCCCCCCCTTCTTTCGCAAGTTTGAACTCTGCCGGTATGAATGATTCGGAACTCGCTGTCTAGCGTAGACATGCTTTAATAGTTCCTCAACGTTTACCCTTCGACTGCTCACATTTTCATTTTCCTGCTTAAGTTCTTGGCTGCCCATAATTAGTTAAAGTTCATAGCTGGCATAGTTGGTGAGAATTGATGAGGACAGTTCTCTGTTCTTGAAATAAGTTGGTAAGTCGTAAGGCTATTCTTATAGGTCTCTGCAATCATTTCTCACAACTCCAGTCTGTTCGCTGTTCATTGGGCATATCTTTCAATGCTTAATCTGTTCATAGGACTCTTTCTTGATTTGTAGGTGCCAGTAAGGCAGTTCTACTAAAAATATTGATCTGTAAGCTCCTCTGAGGAGTTTTTTCGACAATTATCCAGTTAGCGGTTATTTGTAGGGTGGTTCCTTCTCAAAGTATCGGTCCGCAAGGGGAACATTTCATTTTCATATTTATAGTTCTAAAGGTGGACCATAATGCGCTTTTTTTTTCAGATATGAATCTGAAGAGGAGCGGAAGGGCTCGTAGAATCGTCATACAATTATCGTTCCATAACCTTCTCATCAGGCACTTTTTAGGCTCGTACTTGTTTCTCAAAATGCTGATGTATAAGCGACTAGGGCACCTCCTAAAATTGTCGGTCTGTGTGCGGCGCGTAGAGGAGTTACTTGTGAAAGTTGGTTTGTATGACGCGTAGATATACTGTAACCTGTTCTAATTATTTTTTCTCTCTCAGAAGACTAATTCATAAGGGACTCGGGAAGCGCTCTTTCTCAAATATCGGTCTTTGAACGGCTGCAATTTTTTTCGAGATATTGGTTTAAGTGGTTTTTTTTCTCTCTCAGAAGACTAATTCATAAGGGACTCGGGAAGCGCTCTTTCTCAAATATCGGTCTTTGAACGGCTGCAATTTTTTTCGAGATATTGGTTTAAGGGTTTCCAGCTCAATTCTTGATATATTGGTCTGTGAGCGCCCATAGAGCGGTTATTTCCCAAAATGCTGCAAGAGGCCCATGGAGCGATTCTTTACAAATTATCGTTGGCAAGCCCCCCCCCCCCCTCCCCGCTCGGCCGCTCATTTTAGAAATTATCGATTTGCAGCGGCACATAGAGCAATTTTTCTCGAAATATTGGTCTGTAAAATCCCATAAGGCAGTCCTTTCTCAAATTATGGTTTGTAGGTGGCCCATAGAGCAGTTTTATCACAAAATATTGGTTGTATATAGGTTCCAAGGGCGGTTCCTCCTCAAAATACCATTGTGTAGGCCTCTAACAATAAGTAGCTGGCAGCTTCTTTCTCAAGACTTCGGTCTTTAGCTGTCCATAGAGCAGATTATACGTGAGTGCCTCGTAGGGCAATACAGTTTGTAGGGGCTGTAGATCTGTAATCTGGAATATCTGCTGATCCCCCATAGGGCAGGGCTTCCTGTAATTATCGGTCTGTGGGG